CTAAGAGAGGCATACACAGAACTATGTAGGAAGGGGAAAAAGATAAGGTCTCCTGAGTAAATTAAATTGGGAGCATGGGGGTCATGGGAGAGAGTAGAAGGGGAGGGGGAGAAAAAGAGGGGAGCAGAGAAAATTGCATAGCTCAATTTAAAAAAAAGAAAAGAAAACATGGATTCTAACTGAGTCGTGGTGGTGCATACCTTTAATCCCTGCCATGTAGATAAATGAGTGAAAAAAAAAAACCATTTATCAAAAGACTCAAAACTATAACTCAGCCAACTCCTAAAGTATTCCAGATTGGGCTCCACTCCTTGGTCCGGCTGATTAAATAAATGCTTTTATCATCAGTTCTGATACAGGACACTGTGGATGCTGCAACCCTAGAAATGGTGCGATTAAATCTACTACATGAACAAGTCTGACAAGATAATAATACTGAACTTGACTCTCAATTTGTACCACAACCTGGTTCTTCTGCATCTTTTGTTTCACCGGGCTCACCCTTGGACTTTCTCCCCTACCTTTGGACTCTAGTTTGAACACAAATCTTGCTAAATCAATGTGAGGACACATCTGTGCTGTCTGAACCCCCACAATATTCCTCCCCCTGGATGCTGTCAGCAAGGATCTTAGCAAAAATGTTTGCCCAGATCCCTGTGCTTCTGATGCTTGCTCACAGGACCTGACTTCTCCTTGGAAATAACCCCCCACTTATTCTTTCCAGAGTCCAGTCTCCCCAGCCGCACAGAGCACATCCAGGGTGCTTGGGTCTGTCACCACAGTCCCCTGAATCAATTCTGTCTCGCCACATTGTTTAATTTTTTTTCCTTGAACCAAGTAAAGCAAGGAAAATCTGGAAGAGACGAGGAATAAATCCAAGCCAGATGAAGGAAGCTGTAATGACTGCACACCTGTACTAGAGGCACAAAAGCGTGGATGAGAGATGATCAACAGGGTGTTACAGAGGGACAGAGGGATGGACTGTTTCAGATTCCTCTGGCTTAAAACTGCAAGATGGCACCATTGACTAAAATCAAGAACATATCAAGTATAAATAGCAGTTCACTGTGTCCTCCAGCCGCTCTCTCGGCAGTGGCATAGCTTGACTCCTAAATAACATCAAGCCAGGACTTTCTCATTATCTGATCAATTTGATGGTGATCTACAGATCCATCTTAGCTAAGCCGAGCCATCAAACCGAATACCCTGTTGAGAGTAATTCATCAAACATCTACCTTGTTTTCCTCTCCCAGATGCATGCGCCTTTTAAAGGTACTGTCACACAAACGCCCTGGGAAGAGAGGCAGAGCCAAAGGTCAGAGCCCAGCAGGGCCTGTTGTCTTCCACCAGCTGTGATGGGGCCCACTTGGGCCAGAGGTGGCTTCTCTGGTCTGAGGCGATCCTTGACCTTGACGTATTCAGAGTACATGCTGATAGCAGTGGCTTTTCAAAGGCCTGTAAATTTCAGTTCATTGTTCTGCCTCATTTTCCATTCAGAGGCACAGCACGAGGGACTTGGCAGCCCATGAAACAAAACCCCACACAGACCACACGTGCACTCTGATTCCTCAGAGGCCGGGTCTCAGCCTGACTCTCTCCCTCTCTCTCCTCCCACTCTTTGAAGTTTTCTGCTCCCTCCGCATTTTCACCCTCCTCTCTGACTTTTTGGTTCCATGGATGTAGCAAAGCCATCTTTGAAAAAGAGTTAGCTATTCCTACAACCGGAGGAGTTAAAGTTGGCTGGAGTGTTCCCAACACAAATCCTCATCCTGGCCCTGTGCAAAGGGGATCCTGGGGTATGAAGGATGAACAGTGGTGTGGATAACAGGTCTAGAAGGGTTCAGTGGACAAATCTTTAAGCAGCTCCTCTCATTACTAGGAACAAGGATGACCCCTTGTTCTGCATGGGGCCAGGCCACACGCATATCTTCCTAAGAAGGAAGCCAAGTCAAGAAGACAAGTTCAGAAGTTGAACATGAAGGCACATGCATGCAACTCTACCATTCAGGAGTATCAGGAACTCAAGGTCATTCTTGGGTACACAGGGAATTTGAGGCTAACCTGATCTACATGGCACCTTCTCTCAAAAAACAAACAAGCAAACAAATCATGAGAAAGTTCAGAATTGGAGGCAATAAGACTTCCTCTTACATTTCTATTGCTTTGAGACAGGCTGTGGCAGTTGGAATAGAAATGGCCCTCAAAGACCCATAGGGAGTGGCACTATAGGAGGTGTGGCCTTGTTGGAGGAAGTATGACTCAGTCTCTTCCTGCTGCCTTCCAATCCAGATGTAGAACTCTCATTTCCTTCTCTAGCACCATGTCTGCCTGTGTGCTGCCATGCTTCCTGACATGATGATAATGGACTCAACCTCTAAACTATAAGCCAGTCTCAGTTAAATGTTTTTCTTTATAAAAGTTGCCATGGTCATAATGTGTAGACAGAAGTTTCTGTCCCGCCCAGTCCCACAGCCATTCAGTCCCAAATAAACACACAGAGGCTTATATTAAATTATAAACTATTTGGCCTATTACTCGGGCTTGTTATTAACTATCTCTTACAACTTAAATTAACTCATAATTTCTTATCTATGTTTAACCATGTGACTTGGTACCTATTCTCAGTAAGGTATTCTCATCTTGCTTCCTCTACATCTGACTGACGACTGCATCTCTGCCTTTTCTCTTCCCAGAATTCTCCTAGTCTGCTCACCCCGCCTATACTTCTTGCCTGGCTACTGGCCAATCAGTGTTTTATTAAACCAATGTGAGTGGCAAATCTTTACAGTATACAAGAGCATTATCCCACAGCAATAGTGTCTCTTCACAGCAACAGACACCCTAACTAAGACACAGTGCCTTATAGTATAGCATAAGCTGTCTTCTAACCAATCATCCTCCTGCCTCCACCTCCTGAGTGCTGGATTTACAGGTATGCCATCATTCCCTGCACCTTCCTAAATATTTGTGAAAAACATTCAGGGCAAGAATTCTTGCCAGCCCTTCATTATATATTACATGTATAAATTTGAATCCTACCAATCCATTTAGAAACAAAAGCAGAATAGTTTATTCCATAAACTTGATGACTGTATATGGGCTTCACTCCCAAGACCTTCCTGCTGTTACTACACAGGGCAGACCAAAGTGTTTGAATCGTCCACTACAGTCCACCCTTGCACTGTGTACTTTCTTCTCCCATGGAAAAAAATCCCACAGAGCCCTTTTCTTCATTTTATACATGGTCCACACATACCCTCCAACTGCCTCCTTCATCTCTCACTTCTAACTTCTAAGCTCCAGTCTTCTGCTCAGAGGTCCTTCTGGTTCACAAAGGAGAGCTTGTTCACTCCTGCCCCATGGTCCCTTCCCACAGTGCATGCCCAAGACCCAGCTTCACAAGGGGTTTGCACAGTGTGGACTGTATTGATTCTTCTTCCTCCTTTCTCCTTCCTCTTCTTCTTCTGTGATAAAGTACCCAGCTAAAGAACCTTAAAGGAGAAAGTCCTGTGGCTCGCTGTTTAGGAGGACACAGAACAGCATGGCGGTGGAAGCTTGCTCACAACTGAGTGAAAGGGGAAGGAAAGATAGAAAGGAGAGAAAGGACAGGAAGTGGAGCTAGTCTATAAACCTCAAAGCCCATCCTGGAAGAAAACAGTTTTCTCTCAGAATCCCCCAGAACAGCACCACCAGCTGGAGACCAAGTGTTCAAACCCTGGAGCTTGGTGGGGTGGGGTTTTACATTCAAACCATTATGTGGGCAGTGTCATTGAGGTCTTGAAACTGTGCTTCATTCATGCTGAGAGGTGTTATATTGAGCTTTCAGGTCCCTTGCTGCTTCTCTTACCCTTTAATCCTTTCAGAGTTGAGGAAATGTTAGACATAAGCATCCCTGGACATCCGATGAGGCCTGTTATCCATACTCAGAGATTCCCTTTCATTCAGACACTGCTGATCTGGAAGTAGGTCACGAGGAAGACGTTGCCAAGTGTTCTTGAGAGAAAACATTCATTAAAGAACAGCACAGCAGAAGCCTCCTCAGCATCCTCTTCTCCAGCCTTTCAGCTATTCAAGCTCTTTCCTCCAAAGAGGACAAGGCCTTGCTAAATAAAAGGCTAGACAAACCACCTGGGAAGTCGGGACAGCCAAGTCTAAACCCTCCGCTCCCGGTTCTGATGAAATGCCCAGAGAGAAAGAGGTGCTTTTGAGAACCAAGCCCTGTCTTCCTCCATCCTCTCTGCTACCCATGGGTGAAGAGAAGCTACAGTGTCTCAAACCTCTCCTCAAAGCTAGGTACTCTCCACGTGGGTAGATATGGCACCTCATTGTCAGAAAGCAAGTGTCTTTCCCATAGGATGCTGTGGTCCCACTAGGGAGAATATACCAAAGGGATGCCTACCCTACAATATGGTCCTGTGTCTTGAGATCCCACCCTAAGATGAATGTTTATATTGCTCATAAATGACAGATCTGGCACCAGCCTTGGTACTTTATTCCACTACCATTGTTACACTATACCTTGTTGGCATAGACTTGGGTCTTACCTTTTGGGTGGTTTATTCCCCACTGTTGTCAGCTAAAGAGGACTCATGGGTCAAATAGTGGTAGCCCTGCAAAAGGTGTTTATGTCTTAAATGCGGGGGGGGGGGGGGGGGGGGAGCCGTGCTTAGGCTTAAAGAAAAGAGGAAAAAATTAATAACAGTCTCAAAAGATTTTTTTTTTTAAATCCTACCACATGTAACAGGTCTTATTGCTAGGTTTAGGAAGATTCAGGAAAAGTGACTGGTCACCCTATGGGAATTGTGAGTAGGCTCTATAGATTCAAATTTTCAGGAAGCATATGGTGCCTGTGTTAACCAGATACTTGACTGAGCAGAGACCGACTCCTTGATCCTTGACTACCCGACCTACTAGAATGATGTAAGAAAGGACACAGTCTGGTATTCCAATGAAGAGCAGAGAGGAGACTCTAAAATCAGCCTTCAGTTTGACACTTTTATTAGAAAATTGTTATATTTGCTGAGGGAAAAGCTCATCTTTGACAGCAAACACGGAAAAACTAAGCAAATGACTTGACAGGCTACGTGGGAAGATTAGTCAAATATATATATTTGAGTGTGTGTGTGTGTGTATGCACGTGTGTGTGTGTTCCCAAAGAAAGGTAAACCCAGCTGTGGATGATTTAGGCCTCTAAATACATCATACAACATCTTTGCTGGCATTTGAAGCTTGAAAGGACCGTCATGATAGGTTGGCCATGAGAGGCTGCTCGAGCAGAGAGATACCCATCCTCACTGTGTTTTGTAGCAGGTTGTTACTCTGGGTTGGAGGAGCCTGCCGAAGGCAGAGGCTAGGAATGGGAAGGCCCTCCTTCCCTATGAAAGAGACAGCCCCGGGGTATACGAGCCTTGCCATCTCTTCCCTTTGTTCACATGCTGGGCATGACTATGGTGCTTTGGACTGTAGTAACCATCTGCTTCTATGAGGTGGCAAGAGTACGTGGGCAGAGAATAGGCACTGATGGGGTTAAACATGGCACCTTGGGCCTTTCAGAACAGCAAAAGCAGGAAGGTCACCCTTCTCTTCCCCTTGTTCTTGTCTCAAGAAGCAGGTCATGAGACCCTCATGGACAAATTCCTTCCTTGTGCCTGGAGAGAGAAACACAAAACCAGTCATTCTCAGCCCGTGGGTCACAACCCTTTGGGGCCCAAACAACCCTTTCACAGGGATTACATATCAGATATCCTGCATTTAAGATATTTACATTATGATTCGTCACAGCACCAAAATTATAGTTATGAAGTAGAAACGAAAATAACTTTATGTTGGGATTCACCACTACATAAGAAACTGTATTAAATTGCCATAGCATAAAGAAGGTTGACAATCACAGCCCTAAACCATAGTCCTTACTTAGGTTCACCCAAGGGTATTGTCATTAGATCAGAGCATTGCTGTGGGATGTCTCTCTATATGCTATGAATATGTTTTTTATTACCATTGGTTACTAAAGAAGCTGATTTGGCCAATAGACAGGCAGAATAAAGCAAGGCGGGAAATCCAAGCAAAGATAAAGGGAAAAAGAAGGCAGAATCTAGTTGCCAGAGAAGCAAGATATGAGGTAGCAAGCCATGAGCCTCTTGGTAAAATATAAAATAATAGAATTGGGTTAATTTAAGATGTAAGCGCTAGTTGATAATAAGCCTGAGCTAATTGGCCAAACAGTTTGTAATTAATATTAAGCCTCAGAGTGGTTATTTGGGAACTGGTGAGTGGGAGAGAAACCTCCAGTTACAGAGTGCCTTTGTTCACATGGTTTTCTACAAAAATTCTTTCTTCATCATATCTAAGCATAGCATTACTGACGTTTCATGACTTCTTTGGACCTTCATTTTCTTATTAAGGCTCCCATGTCACATACACCTCTACTGTCTCTCACCCACCATTCAGCTCCCTGCCTAGGACCCACTGGCCCCCATGGCCCGCGGGCCACTTGGATGCTCCTTTCCTGGGACCTGGCTGCCTTTCATGGCTTGCCATGGTCTCAGGACCTACTGCCTACTGCCGCCACTCAGGGACAGCACAGTGTTTTTATTTAAACCATAACCCTTCCATTTGAATTATATCTGACCTAATATAAAAATTTAAAATATCTTTTCCTCTTCTCTGGAACAATTGCATATGATCAATGTAATAATGTGTTTATCAAACTTTTGAAAAGATTAATTAATGGAATCATCTGGGCTGGAGTTACCTTGAAGTTTTCCTAAATAAAAAAAAAAAAAAACTTGTAGCCAGGCAATGGTGGCGCACGCCTTTAATCCCAGCACTCGGGAGGCAGAGTCAGGCGGATCTCTGTGAGTTCGAGACCAGCCTGGTCTACAAGAGCTAGTTCCAGGAGAGGCTCCAAAACCACAGAGAAACCCTGTCTCGAAAAACCAAAAAAAAAAAAAAAAAACACCTCAAGTCTAATAAATTTTTACCATTTATAGAATTCCTACTTCGATGTCTCGACTTTATATGAACTACTTTTTATAAATTATTAAGTACTGACACAAAGCTGTTGACATCCTCTCAATTGCGCCAGTAGGATCCCGTTCCTAATACAGAGCTGGAGAAATGACTCACCTCAGGCCCCACAAACACCTGCAACTTCAGCTGGAGTGGACTCAGTGCCTCTGCCTCCTTGGGCCACACACGTGTGGCATATATTCATTCGCAGAGACAGTCACATGCGTGCACATGCGTACACATGCGCACGCGTGCACACGCACACAGACACACAAAGTTTATGAACTCTTCTTCTTTAGAACCCCCTCTGCTGGCGCTGTGGATCTTTCTTTGCTGGAAGCCTGTTGTCTACTTTACTCCCCCCTCTTCTCTACCACCTTGAAGTGAGTTTCACCGACGCAGCGCCTCCGCAGAGCCGCTATGTGAATAGTTCACTTACTTTTCTTGCATTCTTCCCCCTACTATTTTTGCACTTGTGGATATGCACTTCTGATACATGCATATTCATAACTTTTAAATATATTTTAATTTATTCTTTGACAATCACATGCATTTATGCAATATACCTACCATGCTCATACCATGCCTCTCCCGCCATCCTATGCTCTTTGGTTGTTGTTCTAATAAACCCAACGAGTCCAGTTAGTTTGGCCTACACGCTCATGGCCATCCTACCAGCAGCCACACTGCCAAGGAAAAATGGCTCTCACCTCCTGTGAAACTACACCACCAGTTCTGTTCCCGCACTCTACTCCTACCGCGCTATGGGAACTAGGCAGAAGATTTAAAAACACACAAACACAGAGACAGACAGACAGATAGGGACACGGGGACATCCTTGAGACAAGAGTGCCAAGAATGCCCCCTTTCTTGTGCTCAGGAGCAGCTTATATAGGGCTCTGGCCACGCCCCAGCTCTTGGAATCTTTCAGCTGCAGACCCACCCACCAGCCGGCCGTCAGGGTCTCAGAGCAGAGGAAAACTAGAATTCACAACCATTTGGTGGCTCACAACCATTTGTAATGGGGTCTTCTGGCCTGCAGACATACATGGAAGGAATGCTGTATACATAATAAATAAATAAATTTTTTTTAAAAAAAAATTCAGGGTCTGGTGGTCCACAGCCCCCAACACCTCCCCACAGTCATCAATTCCTAATATGAACCCCTCCCTCATCAATGCTGGAATTACTGAATATAAACACACATTTGTGTTTTTCTCCATGAGAACAAGTCAGCCATAATCCCCAGGTGGTTATTATCCAATCCTTTTAATAGTGGCAAAATTCATTATATTGTTTTATTTATTCATCTTGTTCATCACCTTCCCCAAGCCAAGAAAGAGAAAGGTGAGTCCCTAGCAGTTTGTACAAGGTTCTGTGTTCTTCGAATAACCCCATGAAATCGGGCAGGGCTGGAAGGCAGCACAGCTGTCTCTTTTCAAGTCCTGGCATCTGGTGTTGGCACGCTAATCCACCTGGTCATGATCACCCATCCTTCCTGAAACACAAGCCCCGAAAGTTAACCAAACTCAGGTGGCATGAAACAGAACGACCTACAAGCCGCCGTCTTATGGCTATAGATCTGACTTGTGTTTAAAAGGATACCTGTGGAAGGGTGCAGAAGTAGCCAGCTTACCTGGGAAGTCATCACGTTTTGGCACTTGCCATTGGTGAAAGATGCTGCAGACTATCCAAGTGCCCTTTCCCTTGCAGCATCTCTGTCAGCTTCTGTGTTCATAATCAGGTGGGGCGGGGCACATGGGGGAGTGGGGACCTGGGAGAGGCAAGTGGTTCTTTTCTCACGTCCATGTTGGGGATAGCCTTATAAGATAATTCCTGCAAGGAGAATGGTGATGTTTAAATTACTTCACATTCACACAAGTCTCAGGTTCAATCCCGGGCATTGCAAAATAAACAAACAAACAAGCAAGCAAAATGCCAAAGGAGGCTAAAGAAAGGGCCACAGGGTCTCAGATTGTTGAAATAGGAGCGGCGGCAGGGCTGCGTCCCCAACACCCCGGCCGCTTGGCTAGCTCACGCCAGAAATAACAACACACAAACTGTATTCATTTAAGAACTGCTTGGCCCATGAACTCTAGCTCTTACAGGCTAATTCTCGCACCTGGACTAGCCCATTTCTAATGATGTGTGTAAGCACCCCAAGGTGCGCTTACCGGGAAGATTCTAGCCTATGTCCATCCTGGGTTCGAGTTGCCTGGGAGAGCTGAGCATGGAGTCTCTGCTCCAGCAGAGCTGTCGAGTCTCTCTGGAAGCAGAGCAGAGTCTGACCTCACTTCCTCTTCCGCCCAGAATTCTATTCTGTTTATTCCTCCCACCAATGCTTTAACCTATGAGGCCAAGCAGTGTGTTTATTACTTAACCAATGAAATCAACAGATTGATATATGACACTCCCACATCATCAGATGTCATTTAAAAACTGAGGTGTAGTCCAGGAATTGTTTCTTTGTGTCCCCCGCGGCCTGTGTGCACGTTGATGGCTACAAGCACGGGCAGAGGCAGACAGGTCCTTGGCAGCTCAGAGAGGGCAGGCAGGGAGCAGAGTGCTCCAGTGCAGGCTGGCAGCTGCTTCCCGCCCAGCAGATTGACTTGTGATCTAATGCGGGCCACCACCTGCCACATTTCCCCTGCCCCACTCAGCTCTGCGTCTTGCCACTCTCTCTGAAGAGATGCTCTGTGCTTGGTCATCAGAAGGCTCAGTCTGGCCTCTGCCTGGCACAGCCATCAGCTACCATTATTCTAGAGTCTGTCACAGAGCCTAGACACCCCACCCACCTCAATTCCCAGGAACCCGAGAGGCACAAGGTTTCTTTTCTCCATTCTAGGAATCCACAGAGGAACCCGGTGCTCTAGGGCTTCTTCCTGATATTCTTGGCTCCCCTGCGGCCCCGAAGAACCCACTTACCCCTGACAGCCACCTCGGCTGTTTTCATTGCCTTCCCTCCCAGTCAGGTGTGAGGGGTGGGGGCTGAGGGCGAGGCTGTTAATCAGTTAGGCAACCTTGATTGCATCTTAATAACAAATGCAAAGCACCCGAGAGCAGCAATTTCCAGTAATGGGAAAAATCAGCGGGTCCCTGGGGTGCAACGGGAAGTAAACACTCTCCAGGTTCAAATTTGGGGGAGGAAAAAAAAATCACTTGTGAATGCCCTGGTAATGCTGGGAAATGCCTGTGTCTTCGTGCTAGATAAGAAGAAACTGGGGTTGCCCAGAGCAGAGCGAGGGGAGGCTGAAGTCACGGCCAAGGCCGCTGGCTCCCTGCCTGTCTGCGGGAGGACTCTCTGGTGGGATTGCTGCCAATGACTGGGCTCCCCCAGCGCAGAGAGGTTAGGCTCAGCCACCAGACCCAATGCCGTTTGAAGAGACGAATGATGGAGAAAAACCTAGAAGAAAATCAATGGGTCTGTGGAAGAGAGGCACAAAGAAAGGGGTCTCGTTCCTCCTCCCCACAACTTCATCTTCAGGGTATAGACATGAGTTTTAGGTTAAACAGAGGAAGAATGAGGGCAAAGAGCAAGAGGTGGCCAAGGTGGGGCCCCATTAATCATTGCCTCAATACTTGTTCTCTAAGGTAGTCCCCAAAGTCCTTATTGCTTCAAGGGGCAGGCTGGCTCTGCAGAGATTATATATGCCTCAGATTGCAGCCCAGGCTAGGGGGAGCAGGGGGAGTTTGAGATGTTACCACAGCTCTGTCTAGCAAAGCTCTGCTCTTCCTGGAATCCAATGGGACTTCAGGTGTAGGAGGCCGGCTTATCTTGGTACTTCAGCCTCAAAGGGGAAAGATAAAGGTTAAGTAGACACTCCCTGGGAGATTAACAAGCCTCTGCAGAATCAAGCAGGAGCCTGAGCAAAAGCAAAGGAGAGAGACACAAAAGAAGACAGCTGTGCCAGACTTTCATCTTGCCCTTAGGCCCAAGGAAAGGGTCTATGGGCCTTCTCTAGGAACACCACCCTCTCCCTCATCCCTTCTACCAGGAACCAATAGAAAAGACCTCTCCTAGTCAGTTCTGGCTAAACAAGTGTACTCCAAGTATGCCTGCTGTGGGGAGGCCAGGACAAAGATGACTGTCCACCTGCCGCCCGTCCCTCTTCCTGTAGACACACCAAGTCAGAAAGCCGAGAGACCTCATCCAGCGCACATCCTGCCAGGGGAACAGATCTCGTTTTCTCTCTCATGATCTGTTTGGAATGCAAAGGAGCAGTTATTTCCCACTAGAAGGTAAATTGCCTCACAGCATCCATTTTTCTTCCTCTTTGAGAACATTCCCAACACTGAGCACACATATTTTTCTTACGTGTAATTTGATCTGGATGGTTTCTTGACCTGCATCCAAATAGAGCCGTGGGTAATTATTACTGTCACTGTTGGTATTAACACTGATATTTATCATAATCTCACAAACGCCGGGGACAGCCCTTAATCTTGCTGTTTTATTTGGTTGAAAGGAAAATGTGAGGCGCTGGCCTCCCTCCCGGTTTAGCCTCTTGTATTCACTTTTACCAAGCTCCTACTATGGGGATAATTAGCCCAATTTCCAGGGATCCCGAGTCAGCTATAACTCTGAATTGCATTCACGGGTTTGCGCCAAGGCCAGCAGGTGGAAGTCACAGAAGTTAGATTAATCGCGCTGACATGAGGACATATCCAATTGTTAAGGCTTGTAACCAGATGCCTTCTTCAGCAATGAAATCCTTGTATCTAGAAATATTCGAGCAGGGACAGAAGAGCATCTATCATGTATGAAGCTGGAGAATCGAAGGGAAATTCCCTCCACCCTTTGAGGAATTGCTGGTCTCAGTTGACCAGAAGGAGGTTGGAGGAAAGATTCACACACTTATTACAAGCATGGAGGCAATCACAGCCTGTTCACTAACTGATCCAGGAACTGACCAACTCCTTCTTGCTAGTGAGTGAGGAGAGGGGAGAGGGCTGAAAGTTGGCAGAGAAATAGTAAGTGACTCTCAGGGAAACTCGACAGTGCGGTTTGGAGAATGTTCTGTGGCCTGGGACAGTCTATTTGGTCTCTATAAGAGACAATGGTTTGGAAAAGATTCTCTGTGGACCGAACAATGGCGTGGGATGAAAAGTCTATCCAGGTGTGTTTATCAATCTCAGCCTGTCTTCCTGGAGTGTGAGATTAGTTTTCTCTGGTTAATAGAGCTGCTTGTGCAGCCTAAAGGGCATTCTGCTTCTCTTTGGGCAGATAAAGCCCTTAGGAAGATGAGAGACCTTTGTGGAAAATCTCTTTCTGCTAGAGAAGGGAAGAAGACAATGGAAGGTCAGAGGGACCTAAATTCTGAGCCTAACTTAAGGCCTTTTAGATTAAATTGCCCAACATACCCAAAAGGCTGCATTTGGGGACATTAGTTCATTGGGTTCTACTCTATCTAAGAAAAAGAATCCTGAGAATCAGGACTGCATTCTCAATATGTCAGAATCACCTGGAAGGCATTCTTAGATTTGGGGATTTCATCCCCAGAGATGGAATTCAGTAAATCCGAGGCAGGGCCTATCAACCTGCATTTCTGTCTAGCAATTCCTCTGACGATGTTGGTCCAGGACAGACCAGACAATGACTGAACGAAGAGTCAGATTAGATTGTTAAATTTTGAGCCTCGTCTAAGGTTTTATGGTGCCCTGGGGGACAAATGACTTAAGAAGGAAGTAGAAGCTGTCTCTGAGTAAAGTCAGGCATCTCCTTAGGAGGCGAAGGCAGATTCTGAACCAGAACAGGGACTTAATCCTTACCTTTTAGCGCTGTTCTGTCTTTCTAGATAGCCTGTTTTTTCCCACCTATTTCTCAAAGTCTGTTTTTTTTTTCCCTTGCACTCCATCTCAGTTTACTGAAAGTTGTCCATTGCTCACTGAGTTCGGATGGAAAAGCACGGGGTGGAAAAGCTAAAGCCATAACTTCCATTCCTCCTGTACCGGTGATGCGCTTTCTGACTCTGAAGTCTCAGATAAAACAGAAAAGAGAAAAAGAGAGGGCTTGTTTCCTGGCCGGTAGTGAGGATAGGAGCAGCCGCACTCCCTTACCTGATAATTTGTACTCATGCCATTCAGGGATTGGGAAGTCACCTGACCGAACATATCTGGGTCCCACAGGCAGCTTTAATGGGGTCTAAAGACAGAAGAGCAGTCTCACAATGTCCTGTAGAGCATAATTCTCTAAGAGCTCTACGGTTGCACATCATTTCCCATGGACATTCTTGTGTTAGAGTGCTTTACCGTGCGAGACAGACCAGGCACCGTTCGAAGAAAGAATGTGACATTTGGGAAACTTCTGAGTCACGTGAAGGTCACAACAAACATTTTAGGTGACTCAGGTTGTCTCCCCTCCAGAACTAAAGCTTTCTTGGGCTAGGGGGATGGGAAAGCAGAAGTGGAGGGGGTGAAAAGGAAACTGACAAGCTCCGGTTTCACCAGAGATCCAGGAAGGAGAAGATATGGCACAAACTCGGGGCAGAGGGGACCCTGGGGTGGTTCTCCTGGGACTACCAGACACTCAATCACTCCCATCTTCTCCTCCTCTGATTCCACCATGCTGGCTGCAATGAGACAGCCGCCAAGAAGCCCTTTCTCTATATCCATACTCTCCTGCCTCTCTCTCCCCAAGCTTCTCCACTCTGGGTAAGATAACTCAGGAAAGATATCAGTAGTACAAAAAAAGCAATGGACAGCAGACTAAAAGTCTCTCAGCAGAGGTCTGGGGATGATGTGACACACCCAGAGGACCAGCACCTTCCCCTGAGAATACATATTTTAAAGCTGCAAACCTCCTGAGGTAAAAATGAAACCTGAAAGAAAGAGGAGGAGCCTGATGTTGGAGGAAGCTGCTTGTTTCATTCCCAGCCGCTTAGCCCTGAAATAATCACACAGAAACTATATCAATTAAATCACTGCTTGGCCCATTAGCTCTAGCTTCTTATTGGCTAACTCTTACATATTAATATAACCCATCTCCATTTAATCTATATATCGCCACGTGGCTGTGGCTTACCAGGTAAAGTTCCCAGTCTGTGTCTCTGGCAGGCTACATGGCTTCTCTCTGACTCCACCTCCTTTCTTCCAGCATTCAGTTTAATTTTCTCCACCTACCTAAGTTCTGCTGTGCTATAGGTCCAAAGCGGTTTCTTTATTCACTAGTGGTAATCACAGCACACAGAGGGAAATCCCACAATTTCCTAATTTAACAAGGAAATGATTTTTTTTTTTAGCACTGGAATGAACGTTACCAAAAAGCAAA